TCCTTTTGTTAATGGTCCGCATAAGCGTGACTGATCAGTCAAAAACAAGACTGTTTCTGACTTCTTTGCAGAGTCCAAGCAAACAGTTACAGCATCAGTAAAAAAACCAAAAACAAACTGAGGAGCTACACGGCCAATAAAGCGCACAAACATGCTGCGTCTACCCATCAGCAAAATGTAGATTATAAAATAGAATTTCTTTTCTTCAGGTAAAACGTTCTGTTATCAGTCTGTATGTACTTCCAGTATGACGACTGCCTGCAGTATTGCGTAAATTAGAAAATTTGTCATATTAATTAATGAGCAATTGCATGCAAGTGCACATGTGAGAAGGCCAGTAGTAGTTTCTACTGATCCATTATCCTGCAGGAATGTGGCTGTAGCTAACTTCTTCCCCATGTTTATACTTCTAATTCCACATTAGTCAATTAACTCTTTCCCAATCCGGATTAGGAATCCGTGTTTTGAAAAGACTACAACAGACTACATAATATTGCCTTTTCTCAAAAGCATCTTTATCTGAATGAATATACTTCCTGCATTCCTCCATACTTAAATCTTCATAAGTACAGGTCTCAGAAATGCTGGCATCACTAGTGATTCGGGGGAATTAATGGACCAGGTTTGACAAAGCCCTTTGACACACTGTTATGCAAATCAATTTCTATTCTTAATTACAGTCACTGACTTTTATTTTTAAATCCCTTTTGTTCAGGTACTACTAGAGGTGTGTAAGTGGGTCAAAGTAAATAGAGAGGAGGACAATAGGATTGTTTTCATGCTGATTGCTTCTCAGCGTGATGCCGTAAAGACATTAATTCATTCAACTCGCCTTTGTCAAAAATAACTTACTCTGACTTTTAATACTAACTGTATCAGCTCGGACAACACAAACTAAAAGTAGTGTACTTTTCAGTATCTATCCATCTATTGCTTTAAGCGGTTCTCATATTATACTCCAACAATGTCATCTCTCCTACAGAGACGGCCCACTACGTCAAAACCCCCACCACCATTAAAACCTAATCTAATGTAACTTATTGTAATTTTACCCTTCCCACACCTCAGCCCGGTAATGAGCTGCGCGATATAAAAAGATCAAAAATAATTGGTAAACTTACTGAGGCACAGCAATGATAACAGACTGTTAAATATCATAACAGCTGTCATGACTGCTGTTCATTTCTGAGTGCCACTGAGAGTAATTTTGCGTAAAAGACACAGAGCAAAGACACAGCTCACACTTAAAAAAACTGTGGGACATGCTACCAAGACCTGGCATGGAACTGGAAATGAGTTTAAGAGGAGAGAGAAAGACGCAGACACGGTTCACAACTGGTAACGTTTCCTCCTGATGTTGTTTCCTTGTCTGGCCAGCAGATGGAGCTCTTGGATGGCAAGTGAGACGCACACAGCTCACAATGATTCAAAAGAGTCAACATATTAAGAGCAGAAAGGGGTGAGTTGGAGCCCTATGACTCTTCATCATCCAGACTTCACTTTTATAAAACAGTATCGAGCCACAACGGCACAAAAAACGTGCTTACATCTGCTGAAACTGTCACCTCTGAAACTACTGAAAAGATGAGAGAAGAAAGAGAGACTAATATCATCAAGTTCACGTGTGAATGGCTGGGTGATGATGATTGTTGACCTCAGAGGTGTTTGCACCTTGCTTTTAGCGGTGGACTGGTGAACATACAGAGAGTGAAAGCGCACGGGATGCCTGGAGAGCGCACTTATCAGGTGTGGTGTCGCTATTTGGCGCAGTCCAATGTGGGAGTGCGTTAAGGGGCAGAGGTGTTGCCATGGTGACAGGCTCCAGTGATCAGTCTTGAAAGTAGGAGTAACAGAATGCGAATCGGCTTACCCTACCTCTACTCTAATCTTCGCTGCCAGTGGGCAGAGAGACAACATTTGACCCGCAGTCGGTGCTTGAGAGCAGCTCCCACCCTTTCATAGCAGTGAGGCACGGGCATGCAAAGGAAGCCGATTGGAGAAGCAGAGAGTGGCTTGAGGATTTCAAGCATACTGAGAAGACGGGTTGGATTTAGCTTAGCTATAGCGGCGAGTGTAGCTCATCAAGGGGCGGGATGGGCAGATGAGGCGGTAGGGGAATGGGTGAAGAGGTTTTGGTAAAGGTTTGGAATTTCTTTTTTTTTAAATATTTTTTTGATAAGGAATTCTTACTCACCGGAAAGCTGTTGGACCCCAGGCTGATCGTGTGTGCTTAACAACTGGCTCTGAATCGTCTCCACTACTCGTTTAAAGCGTCGGCTGGGTCCTTCACAGAGACATAGATAAACACACGAATGCTGACATAGTTGTCATGGAAAACACTTACAGTTGTCTTGGTAGGTAAAGCAAAAGTAGCATAAATGACGTCTCTATTCCATTAAGTGTGTGAGCAAACCATGACAGCGAACCAGAATGCACGAAAGCGGCACTTCTACGAGTTCAATGCTGCCATCAATAGATCTATTCTCTTCTGTGACAAGTCATGGGGTGCTTTTCACGATGCTAACTTTTGCTTCCTTGCCTCCAACTCTCCTCCAGTGACTTGAAAATCATCGCCCCTTACATGCACCACAATGAGACAAGAAACAAGGAAGTTTCTGGAAAGGATTAATATTCATTTTTGGTGTGATATATAGACAAACACATCAAATGCAACTGATGATACTTGCATGTGTCCCATACTGCATGTGTCTTGTGCATACTTACTGAGAAGACCTAAGACACATGATGGAGGGAGGGGGCATGTTATTATACTGAAAAACCCCTAAAAAGTCTAGTATAGTAGAGTATCAGCAGCATGAAGGCACACAGCAGAACTTGTACAAATATATTGCAATAACCAAATAGATTTAAAGGTACTGGTTTTTGAAGGCAAAGCAAACAGGGATATGGACGTGGTGCAAAATGTGAGGTGGAAAACTGCAGAAAGCCTGAGATTATAAATGGGGGCCAGCGATGAGTGCTGCTGAGAGCTCCTGCTGTCTACCTGTTGTGTACAGTATACGGTCAGTGACATGAAGAACTGGCTTCTATTACACCCCATTCAGCTCAGCCGTGCCCCCATTTATGTGAAACAGAAAGAGGAGAGTAAAAGAGAGCATGCAGGTGTTTGTGCAGAATATGTGGAATTGTGCATAGCTTGACTTCAGTTTGCTAAATCTTATCAAGAATTCAGGATTTTAAAAAATTATTTTTTTTCATTAAGTTTAACACACCAACATGCTTTCGGGGGGAAAATGACTTCAGGCTTGTTTGTTTGTTGAATATACATGACTCCATTAGTTTAAAGTG